CGTTCCTACTTGGCATATCTGGGTGTGTACCTAGCTCTGCTTGAGTTCTAAAAAGAGGTGTGCTGGGGCTGAAGCACTCAAGCATTGAGAAATCCTGCAACTGCTCCTAGCTGCTCATTAGTTTAATGTATGTAGGGGTTAGACCTGGTGCTGACAACCAGGTTTGGGATCTGAGCTCTGGTGCAAATCCATTTTTTAAAAAATTAAGATATTCACAGATATTCAGTACAGCTTTGATAACGTTGCTGGGTGTCTAAGTGAATCCCACTGCACACCTCCTGGTCATGTTATACTACAACCCCATATAATAAAGAAAATTGCAACAAAGAAGAACTGGAAAAAAGTGGAAAAGGAAATGGCAAATGATAGAAATGCAAGTTTGCCAATGATGTCAGGATTCTCTGTAAGAAGTAAATGGACAACTGGTGTCAGTTCCATACTAGAAGTCTAATCTGGAAGCAACCTATGTGAGGGCTCAACCGATTTCTGCAGGGCACATATACCAGACCAGGAGTAGAGAGGAGAGAACCCTCCTTGATTGCGGATGAACAGGATTAAGACCAAACTTGCACTGTAACACTGCGATGAAGAAAGATCCAGACAGCAATTGGCAATTCTGCCAAAGAGGCGGCCCGCAGCAGAAGGCGATTGGCAAGCAACGTAAAGCAAAGCTCAGCAGGGGCAACAGGAGTCGTGCGACTTCAGTGGCGAGGGCTAGCGCCCCCTGGCGTAAGATGGCTCTTGTGAAAAGAGGAAGTTGCATAAGAGGCTTGGGAGGCCTGTGGTTTTGATCTTGACATTTGTGCGGGGAGGGAGGAAGTGATTCCCTGGGAGAGCTAGGCACTGGTCCAGGAACTTTGCGTTGCCTCTTAATCACAGGGAGAGCAGGCCCCGAGAGCAGGCCCAGGTTACTCTGAGTGACTTATCACTAATGAAAGAAGAGTATTCTGTTTGTGCTCAGGGGCATTTCTATTTACTTCACAGCTGATTTCGGATCGCGAGCATTCAGATGGTTTTATCGATATGAAGAAGAAGAGATTGGATTTATACCCCGCCCTTCACTTGGGAGTCTCAGAGCAGCTTGCACACTCCTTCCCCCCCTCCCCTCAACAGACACCCTGTGAGGTGGGCGGGGCTGAGAGAACTCTGACACAAACTGCTCTTTTTCAAGGACAGCTGTGCCAGAGCTTGTGACTGACCCACGGTCACATCAGCAGGTGCAAGTGGAGGAGTGGGGAATCAAACCCGGTTCTCCCAGATTAGAGTCCGCACACTTAACCACTACACCAAACTGGAATTAGAAGTGGGAAAGGGATTTTGAGTTGCTCTGCATGTGATTTGAGGTACCCAACTTTGGATTTGTATAATTTTGTTCGGTTCTTCTTTTCAAAGGTTTTTTTTTAAAAAAAGATTCTGGACATTACCTGGAGAGCTCACTACCTCAGCCAGAGCAATCGGGACTCAAGTTTATCAGGAACCCCACCTCCCCCGGTCTCTTTTTGTGCAAAGGCGTCATTGACCAAGGAGGATGCCCACTCTGTATATGCTCAGTGGTACTTTGCCACTGTTTCCTCCCTGCGCTCCGCGACTGCGTTGCTTGCCCAAGGTCCTCGAGACAGAGGCTGGCAACAGCGCCCCGCGCCCCGGCCCGGCCGTGCGCCCTTGGCGAAGAGGCCGCACTGCAGAAGGGGCGGGGCCGCGCGCCTCCCCCTTTAAGGAGGCTGCCGATGAAGTCACCGCCGCTCGGCCAGCTCCGGGAATCGCTCTAGCCGACGACGAAGGCAGCATCATTCACCGCAGCGACCGGCTCTCGAGTTCCTCCTCTCCTCCGGCACCTGCTGCCAGGCGTCCAGGCGGCGGGCGTCCCCAGGCGGCTCCGCGCCCCGAAGTCGGGCTCTTTTTGCGGTTCCGAGGAGCTCTGAGTCCCCGCTGACTCGCGGCGCTTTCTCTGCCCGAATCCTCCGGCCGAGATGCCTTCGGACCGGCCTTTCAAACAGCGGCGGAGCTTCTGTAAGTCCCAGAGCTGGGAGGACGGAGGAGCTCACTTTCAGGCCTGGGAGAAAGAAAACAGGGAGACGGGAAGGTGGCCGACTCTGGGACTGGCGGAGGGGGCGCCGGGAAGAAGCACTGGGCTCGTCCCCCCGTTCGTGAATTCCCTCCCGCGTAGAAGAAAGGGGCAGCAGACGTGAGAGATCCCCTGGTCTGGCGTAGGTTATTGGCGGGGGGAGGGGGGCCATCGCTTCCCGCGGAGCCCTTAATGCGCTCTCGGGGGGTTCTTTGCGTCCCTCCAAGTCCTTCTACGAAGGTGCTCCCCCTTGCGGGTCAGTCGTGCTACTAGAGGGGGAGCAATAGGAGAAGGAATCCCGAGGGAGGCGTGTTCACCGGTCCAGGTATTAGTACCCCCCCCCGGGAGGTCACTCAATATTAATAACCAGCAAGCCCTTCGCTCTGCCAAGCTGCCCTGTCTGTGCCATTCTCGGGTAGTGTCGGCACCCTTCCTCGCATCCAGCGTCAAAATCGGATGGCTGAGAGCCTATCTCTGGCCATGTCGTTTTATCAGACGCTGGGAAAGGCGCATCCTGGAGCGGGTGGGTGTGTTGGGGGGGGGGGACGACGACTCAGTACGCCCTTTGTCTTACGACGCCAAGGTGCCCAAGAGAAAAGGGGGAGGGGGAGTGTTGCTTTGGTTGGCAGTATCAACAGTCGCCCCACCCCGTTTTATGGAGGTATTGTCACTCCTCCTCCTCCACCACCATCTAAGTGGGGGGAGGAGCAGCCCTTCCAGTGCCAGAAGCTGCTCCGTTATGCCCTGGCCCCCCTCCGGTGGCATTTGGGAAGTCTCCATCCAAATTGGCGCAGCGCCCCCCCCCCCCCGGCCCAAAGGCCTTTCCCCCTGGCCCCAAAATCCCCTGGGGGACTTGTCAGGCTGGACCTCGGCAAGGAAGGGAGTCTCTTTGTGTTGCCTCGGCGCTCCAGTTCCCTGCTGGTGAGCCAGGAAGGGCCAAGCAGGCAGGAAGGAAGCCAAAGGGAATTAGCAGCTGCAGCAGCCTTACCCCGGCGGTGATGTAATGTTGCGGGGGGGGGGGATAAGGTGTTCATGTGGTCTAGTCGCTGCAATGATGGTGCTTAGGGAGGCAGAGCTGGGAGGCACCTCCCGTGCCCAGAGACACCCCTGCCTGGAGAAGCCGAACATTTTGTGCTGGGGGAGGCATTTAAGAAAGGAGCTCTGCTGGAACAGAGCCACTTCCCACCCCTCTGGTGGAAATCTTTCCTGCTTCTGATTGGATCTGAGCTGGTGAGCAGAGTCCCGCCTCCTCTTCTGAGAGCTTTGTTATGCTTGTAAGTCTTCACATGGGTCATTTGTGTATAGTGTGAGGGGGGGGGCGGGATCTCTATGCAGGTCTGATTGATTACCATGTTTATAAGCAATCTCATTTTCTGAATTATTGCTTCTCTTCACGTACAAAGAGAATCCAGAGAAAAGTAATGCAGAATTCCAAGGGAAGGAAGGACTAAACTACAGCTTGCTTGCTCCACAGTTCAGCTGCTTGGATGATGATCCTAGGATAGGTGCCCTTTGTTTAAATAGGTAGATTTGTAAAGTCTCATCCTCAGTGTTGTCAGGGGGAGGTGACCTTAGGCTGCAATCCTGTGCATCCTTAGCTGAAACGGACAGTGCAATCCTAAACAGAGTTAGATCCTCTGAACTCACTGACTTCAGTTAACTTAGAGAGGTGCAACACTGCTTAGAAGTGTACTGTTCCCATCAAATGCAGTGAGGCTTAATGTAGAGTCAGCATGCAGTGGACCAGAGAATACATGTGAAGGAAATGGTGTGCTCATATAATTGCTGCACTGAAGACACATTCCTGGACATCAAAACTTCACAGAATGTGTGTTCTGAAATGTTTCCCACCACACTGAGGTTATATCTGTCTTCATCCTATCTTTTCTTTCATCCTTAATTATCTTGAGTAGTGTGCATTTGTTGTTGTTTAGTCACGCAGTCGAGTCCGACTCTTCGCGACCCCATGGACAAGATCTCACCAGGTCTCCTGTTTTCCGCCGTCCTCTGAAGTTTGCTCAGTTTCATGTTCGTTGCATCTATGACACTGTCTAACCATCTCATCCTTTGCCATCCCTGTCTTCTTTGACCTTCAATCTTTCCCAGCATCGGGGTCTTCTCCAGTGAGTGCTCCCTTCTCATTTAGTGGCCAAAGTATTTGAGCTTCAGTTTCATTATCTGGCCTTCCAGGGAACAGTCAGGGTTGATTTCTTTTAGGATTGACTGATCTGATCTTCTTGCAGTCCAAGGGACTCTCAAGAGTCTTCTCCAGCACCATAGTTCAAAAGAATCTATTCTTCAGCGCTCGGCCTTCCTTATAGTCCAACTCTCGCAGCCATACATGACTACTGGGAATACCATTGCTTTGACCATGCGGACTTTTGTTGGCAGGGTGATGTCTCTACTTTTTATCATGCTGTTTAGGTTCACCATCGCTTTATACTTTATAGAAATAAACCTCCAACAGGTGGTGTGTATGTGTTTGCATGAATGCACCGTACCTTTCAGTAAGAAATTGTTTTTCATTTAGTCGGCCCAGTTTGAGAGACTACCTCTTTCTCTGTAATGATCTCTTCTTGTTTTATAGTGAGCCATATTTATTCTTTACTTCTGGATGAGGATTAAATCAGTGTGGAATCTGCACAGAATATAGCATCCTGAGAATCTAAATGAGAAGCTTTGTTCTTAAAGAAAGTGAAGTTTTTGGTCCTCATGAATGCAAAAGGATGTTTGGGGAAAAGTAGGCAACGTCAGGTGATAGAAGCCAGAGCGAGTGAGCAGGATGTGAAATTTCTCAGGGGGTGGGCCTCCAGGCCATTCACCACAACTTCCTTCGTTCCTTAGGGTTCCACTCCCTAATTTATATAACTCTCTTAATTTAGTTTCAGCTTCCCAGGTTCATGCCAACACATTCCAATTGGACCACCTGGCAGTGGGAAGCAGAATAAATTATGCAAAACAAGGAAGCATGCTTACCTGACAATGCTTGTTCTGAGTGCAAAATCAGGGCTCCCTTTGGCATAGAATATAGTGAGAGCACAGCCCATTGGGAAGTTCCCAGTGAGATGAATCTGCAACAAACACTACAGTCCTCCTGCTTCATCTGTGGCAGTATGTCAGGGGCTTTCAGATAAGCGCAGCGCTTGTTAGTGAAGATCAGTTGAGTGATTTCACCCCCTTCTGATGTAAGCAGGCAATTCTTGGTGCTTATGTGTGAGATTCTGTGGAAGAGTGGTTATCGGGCAGGTATTCATTTCATCAAAGAAAATGCCAGGTAATAGCTTTCTTTTATCTTAAATGTTGTGCTTGTGAGCAAAAGCAATTGTTCAGACTACAAAGATCAACTGTGTCCCAGTACTGTTGTACTTCTGGTCCTTATTTCAACTCTTTTTTAAAAAATTAAGGCCTACAAAAGGAACTTGGTAAGGGTCAGCTGGTGAACAAACACTTGCCCCCCAAACAGTTTGCATTTGTGTGTTTGTTTGATTTCAGTCCTTCTAACCCACCCCTCCCTGCTCTCTTTTGGGAATCTGTTTGCTTTAAACTCTGTTCCAAGTAAAGGGTTTCTGTGGTGTTCAAGCCAGGAGACTCATATTCTAAAAGAACATCTTTTATTTTAAAGGATTGCTTCTTGGTTGAAAACACTTTTGTTGTGGGAAAGAACCTCTTATTTCCGAAGCCAGCATGTAGTTAGCTTGGTTTGACTCACAGCCTTATCTGCTCTTTTCCTGTTTATAGAGTTATATTTTTAAGGACCTGTGTGGTGGTGGGGTTTTGTATCAGTACAGCTGTCATGTTCTTTCCAACTACCTACCCTTTAGGTGGTCCCTTTTGTGGATCTTTGATAAATCTCATCTTAAGACGGTATTCATGATGAATATGATTTAATTATGGATTCCTTTGGGGAAGTGCAGAATGCTTTAAAACAACACTTTCTAGTCAATCTCTATAGGTTAACTGATCCACAAAAACAATATTACTGCCTCACCTGCTTGTTTTTGTCATTTGTGGTATTTTATAAGAGTTCAGAAGCTTTCCTTCTTGAGGACAATTCATACCTTCCACAGACATCTAGAAGAAAGGTCTGTTATGAGCATGGAGAATATGAGACCCAAAGAAAATGAATGATTGGACTAAAGGTGTTCAGAGAATTTTAGTTGAAATTGGATTGGTGTTGCACAGGGAAGGGCAGGCAAAAAAATCGAATACAAAAAAATTAAAACCGCAACCCAACCTGGCCAGAGAAGCACCTCAGCAATACTAGTCCTCTCTTACCTGAGCATATCTTACAGTGCAGTGCAGTTACCTGTGCAGACTTACTTCAGTCTAAGTCCATTGATTTCAGGCAGTTCAGACTGTAGCAACTCTGTGTAGAATTGTACCACTAGATGTGTTGTGGTATCCAGATATTGTGCATTTTGTGTGGACTCCTTCCTGTGTCAATGAAACCATGCTAAACTGACATTTCTGAAAGGCTGGGGTATCTTTCTACTGTACTTCTTGCAAAATTTCCTTTACAAAATATCCCATCAAATTCAGACACTGCCAAGGGGCAAAACTAAAATGGAGTGGCCCTCAGAAACGCTGAATGTTTCTCAGTGCCATTGTTTATAGGTAATTGACTGGCAAAACAGTCCATAGAACCAGTCATTGAGGTGCAGGGAGAGCTTGGCACCGTGAGTCTGTCTTGTCTTCTAAGTATTGTGCAAGCACATTTGACAATGCAATCCCCGATCTGCGCCAGTGTCATTCAGCAGATTGGCCTGGGTGAAAACCTTAGCTTGACCCTAAGCTACTCACTGTCTCTTTCTCTTGGTTCTGGGAAGGTCACCTTTCCTCAGGCCAGCTCCCTGTGTTTTTTAACAACTATATGTGAGTCAGAAACTGGACAAGTGCAATGGTCTCCATCACTGTATTAGGAAAATGCTTCACCTGTTGAATTTTT